ACACATGATGCAATATCCTAAACAGTCTACAAAATATGGAAATTGAATTCAAAATCATTATTAATTCACAACACAGTAACTTAGACCCATTATATGCTGTTAGTATCACAGCTAGGAGAGTTTTGACTTTGTATTGCATGCTTTTACAGTATGTTTAAAATATATTTTAATCAATAAAATAACAAATCTATAATTAAAAAAAAAACTGGAAAATTGTTGGTGTGCTACTGTTTGACATTTTCAGTTTATCAATAATATAATGATAAAATAATGAATTTGACAATGAAACATTGACTAAAATTAAGAGATTTTTGTCAAACTGAATAAAAAATGTGTCACTGAAACATAAGCTGGTCTAAACTGGTCTGAGAATTTTTCCTATCATGGCAGTTGCTACATTGATTAGGAGGGAGTCTAGCGTATAGGCCTACGAGTTCTTGTCAAAGTGCTCCCAACCGAGTCTTAAAGTGAGTTTAGGAGCCAGTTGGGGGCACTTAAGACTGATTTGGGACGCCTGCAGTTAGTCTTTCCACCTGTGATTACCACTGGAGCGCCTTAATGGGAATTTTTCTGAACAGTAACAGTTTAATTAAAGACCACATGTTTCTGTAATGAAAAGGGAACGTGTTGAGAGAACATCAGCAAGATTGGAAATCTCTCATATAACTTCTTCTAATACACTCTCACGCAATCCAGTCCAGCATATGTATGGCCAATCAGAAATTCATTCATCACACACATTAACACCCCTAGAAGTTAAGACCATCAGCATGATTAACGATCATTTTCTATCAATAAATAGCTGAATGATGGTTGATTGCTGCTCTGTTCTGAAGTATAAAATCTGTCCGTAGGTGAAAAACAGATTAAGTCGTTTAAAATATTTAATTGCGAAACAGAACAGCAAGTGAACACAGCTGGGAGCAGATGAATGGAGCATATGTGTAGATGTTTCTCAGATTGCATGTATACATGTGCTCCTTACATGTGATCACGACATAAGAAACATTCTCCTGAGAGCAACCGTGAAAGACTAACATGTGATTTGAGATGCATTTAAAGATCATGTTGCCACATTCCTACAACCTTGAGCCACCAGAGATCAATCAAAGTGTTTGGTTTAGGTCTAGCACAATGCAAATTTAAGATCAATAACCGACATGTCAGTTTTGTTTTAAATACACATTTCCAACTACATTTTTCGATGGAAATCTGCATTAAAATTCTTCACTACGAACAAATTGTGGCCACTGATTATTCTGAACGATGACTAAAAGTACTCTACTGCCTCTTTTCCGGCTCACAACCCTTTTTAATAATCGAATCAGTTGAAAAGAACATACATTTTAGTTAACCAATTTTGTTGCTGAAAGAGAATTTTCTAAACTGATATTAATGTTTAATTACTTTGCAGTTTGTGGAATTTCTCTTAAATATATGGATTAGATGAAATAAAACCACTGTTGCTTGTGGTCAAAGTATATGGCTGCACATTTGAGTTGGGGAATAAATTTGATTGTTATTTTGATTGTTAAGGTAATTGCGACTTTTTATCTCACAATTTTGACTTTTTTCTCAGAATTGCGAGTTTATATCTCGCAATTCTGACTTTTTTCCTCATAATTGTGAGATATAAACCTCCAACTGCAAAGTTATAAGGTCCAGTTCTGAGGGGGAAAATATATATTTTTTCAGAATCGCAAGTTTATTGCAAGTTTTTATCTCACATCTTTTTTTTGACATGTAAACTCGCTATTCTAAGTTTATATTGCACAATTCTGATTAAAAAGTAGGAATGGCGAGTTTATATCTCACAATTCTGATTGTATAACTCGCCGTTGTGAGTTTATATCATGCAATTTTGAGTAAAAAAAGTCCTTTATCTCAAAATATCTCAAAATTATAAATTGACTTAAGAAACAAAACCACATGAATCATTTAGATTTTGTCAGAAAAAAGTATCTTTAATAAGAATGTATTTTGTCTCGCCGCACTAAGTTTAAATGTGAAAAATCTGCCAGTGCAGTAAAACAAAATTAAATGCACTTATGTTTATGAAACAATATATGAAAACAAGTAAACAAGAACAAGAAAATATATTATATAACAAGAAAATATATCTATACACACACACGCACGCACGCACACACACACACACACACACACACACAAGTAAACAAGAACAAGAAAATATATTATATAACAAGAAAATACACACACACACACACACGCACGCACGCACACACACACACACACACACACACACACACACACACACACACACACACACACACACACAATATTATACAGTTAAAATCAGCCTTTTAAAATTACTACTCTTTCTTTTTAAAAAAGTAATATAATAATGTAGACTGTTTAAATTACCTGATTGTTCTAACATACTTTACCTTCACAATTGCCTGAGTGTAAAATAAGCTATCTTCAGGTCCACCAAAGGCCAGGATATATGATATGGCTCGCTAGAGGAACAGGAAGTTTGTAGACAGCCCTCGTCCTGTGTGGCCTATACTGGCTTTGAGGAGACAGTAGAAATGATTCACAGGGCAGCACATCAGTCGAGCATACAGCAGAGAGCTGGCCGGAGCCGAGTGCCTTGTTCTCCTGGTCGTTATCATGAAAGAGACAGACCCTTCTTGTATGCCTTAGCCCAGCGATCCTGGCAACTGTTGCTTTAGAAATGTCCCAAGATTCCATCCTGCCCTGAATCTCAGCCTGTGGAATAGAGAATGTTGAGACAATGATGTCACAAGGGAAATAACGGAACCTTGAAGAGCAGCCGAGCAGAATAATTTTGAATTGCACTGGAATCAGGTCCCACTTGCGCTTTCTGTGCACCTACACAATTTTAATGCAGCCACCGAAGCACTTGCCAGTAGGGGATGGATGAATTGAGAGGGTTGGTTGTTAGTTAAGTATTATAGACATTATGCCTTGAGAGTTCAGATATGGCTCAGTACTGGACAATCGGTGAAGGTTACGGTCAATGAAGCTACCAGTGAAGGCTTTGAATATATTCTGAAGGTGAGAACAGGAATTAGTGAACAAAGGAAGGGACAGAGCCAGAGCCAATGTTCTTCGAAAGCATAGTGTAGACCGAATTACATAAAAAAAAGAAAGAATTGATTTGAAATACAGAATAATTAATAAGAATAATATTTGAATACAAAAGGCACAAATGAGTGCAAAGAAGTAAATAAAACAAAATTGTAATATATAAATAAACAAACCCGTATATGGTGCTTGGTGACAATGACATCTATCTTTAAAATTCTCATACTATATGAATGATTTCTGTTTAAAAATGGAATATGATGCAATCTAACTTTAAACCGACTCTTCATCTCGTCACGTAGTTGCTGCTGATGTGTCCTTCAGTGAGAATAGAGGCCACAGGTGTCGCCAACCTGATCTCATGATGAAAACGTACCTGTGGGAGCTTTTTCGCAAGATGCAAAATACATACCAATAAGTACATATACTGTAACTGCAGTTTCCAACAGAAATGAATACTAGAGGTGGTAAAACAGTGAGCACTTTTAATAATTTTTGTACACAGTCATGATTACAGCTCCACACTGTATGTTTCTCTTTCCGGACGTAACAAGCATGCTCGGTAGCTCAGCCGGCTCAGCCTTAGGTTGCGAAATCCTTGGGTACAAATCCCTTGAAAAACATGACTCATGATGAAAAAGATTAAAGATGAGAGATCTAAAAACAAGCTAAAACGGCATGCTTGCGATTGTGTCACATTCACTTTTGTTCATACTATCGGGTAGGTTTAGGTGTAGCAAAACGTCACGGAGCATTAGAGTTATAGCGTCACTCAATTGACATTTCAAGTCCGAACTGCGGCGACACGTACAAAACCAACATCGCATAAAATGGACCAAATGTAGGCCTATGTTCATCTGTTCCGGGAAAAAAAAAATGAACCAGCCATTCAGTGGACATTTTAACATTGAATATGTCACGAAACGTACATGGCGCTATGTATTTCGTGTCTTGTAAGAAAGTTCCCACAGGTACGTTTTCATCATGAGATCAGGCTCGGTGTCGCACATAAACCGAATAGATATTGTCAGGTTTGCGGGGTTTAACTTTCTTGGACTCAAGGGAATGTATACTGTCTATTACCTGTCTATGCCCTAATTCGCAATAGACCCTTCGGACTCGGAGGGAGCTTGATTGACAGGTAATCTGACCAATCATAATGCAGAATCCATCATTTTGTCCGTCAAACAAATCAGACTGTAGAGTAGATTAACTTCAGTGGACTGAAACTTGAAAAATGAAGTGTATTGACGTCTTTCTATGGTTGAAATTTTCTGATGTTCATTCATGTTTATTTCATGTTTTAAGTAAATATGAAAAGATGATCGGTTCATGTGCCACTTGTGAACTGAGGTGCGGGTGACGGGCGGGTTTTTGCGAAGGGTCAATTGAACATGTAGACCTACATTTATGTATTGATTCAGGTCATTGCTGTGTTAATAGTGAAAGTGTTGCAGAAATGCTAGAAACCGTTCTGTTCACTTACACTAATGTGATCTAGCTGTAATTCGCTTTCAAATGAGGATTTTCTCAATTTAATTGACTGTGAAAAGTGTTTGCCTCAATTTCAAGTTGCGGTCTTTAAATTTTTTAATCACTTTAATGCATAATTTAAACATTTATTTACAGAAAATGGTTAAAAATACTTTGCAATGTCCTAATTCTTTCCAGAAATGTATCTTCAGCCCTTTAGGAGCACGGCTTACTAAAAATCGCATTATTCGCTGAAATCTCAAGTTCATTCATTTCCTCAAGATACGTTATGCCAGGTATCTAAGACTTGAAGACAAATGACTTGAATTAGTGAGACGTGACTTGGACTGAATGCAAAACACTGGCCTGGGTTCATGTCTGGTTTGTATTGCTCACCCTTATTTGCCAAGTGCCCTGCTGAGAAACTGATGGCGTACAATCCCATCTCTTTTTAGGGCCCTGACGGAACTGCTCAAACAGCCAGGCGAGCCCAGGGGTGTGGACAGAGGAGGAGGCCACCACCATATCGGATCCAACGGCATCTCTGGCAGGTCAATGCGCACCAACAACGGTGAGTCAGAGCTCCAGCGTCTCTGCTGAGCTGAATCTCAGGCACTCACGGATATAATGAACATCAAAGAAAATATAATGAACGTCAAACATTCAGAGTTGAGGTAAAAAGGAGCCTTGACAGGTTGCTTGCATTTGTATTTCAATTGCCAGTATGTGAGGCCTGGAGATTTTGGCACTTGAATGTGAAGTATTGATCTCATAACTGTTTAAATATGTATGTTACAAACACTTTCTATAGCCCAGTTAAATATGCAGTGACAACTTCACCTGTAGTTGATTTTGATACGGTGGCATTTTCAAAACATTGCTGTTTGTTTGAGCAGCCTTGCATGGTATCACTGGCTCAACTAATGGTGCCATTTTCGGGGAGGGACTATCCGGTTGACTGACCAATTAAAACCCCTAACCAGTGATGTTGTTGCTTACTAAAGCTAAAATTATTTTCTGTAATTGAAAGAAAATAAAAAGTAAATAAAAATATTAGATGTCAGATATCTTGGCATTCAAGTTGAAGGACTAAAACTACTTAAAAAAACCCTAATTAAATAAATATTACAATTAAACCTAATAGAAATAGACAAATGACAAAATTGCATAAAATTAAAAAAATAAAAAATAAAATAAAATAAGCAGATTCAATAAATACTGTAATAGTATATAAATAAAAAATGCACAAAAAAAAAATCCTCCGAATTTTTGTCTTTTGTCGAAATTTTGACATAATTCTTTTATTTTTTTTTATGTATTACAATTAAGGGATTTTACTCTTAAAACCGGGGGAAAAAATGTCTGGCGATAGGGTAAGAAACCCTACCTTTATTTTTATTTTTTTACCCCATTGACAAATTTATTTTCCTTGTTGTATTTAAGCGTAAAGTCATTTAATTTTGATCAATTTTGCGGACAACAAGAATTTTACTTTTAAGCTTAAGTTTTATTAATTTGATTCTGTGCTTTTGTCTTTTTTATTAGTTTTTAAAAACCTTTATCTATTAATAATTTTTTTCCTGAGGAAAAAAAAATTGCAGTATAAAATACCACTGCCCTTAACACTCCGCCATGCAACTCATTCTGAAATGTGCTACGGGCACGGATTGTACAGTCTTGATGAGGAGAGGTGTACTTTTACTTTTATGCAATCAGACTTTCACCTTGGAGATAAAGGGTGAAAAAAATCATAAAGATGGAGAGAACTGTCTGTAACAGAACCTAAAGTGCTTATCTCCCCCAGAGCACCCTGATAATCAAACAGCAACACCTTTTAATCATGACAATGAATTTTATTTTTATAATCCTGTTTGGTGACACCAGAGTTGCAGCAATTACAGTACACTTGAAAGTCTTTAAGATGACTTTGGTTTGCTTGAATAAACGGCTGTTTTTTTTTTGTTTTTTTTACTATTTATTTAGCTATGTCATCATTCAGTACATCAACATTCTCTTTGCAGTCAAAACTAAAGTTCTTGTGCGATAACGACCCATTAAATATTCCATAGATACACATCGGCCGACAACGTTATTGATAAAATCTCAGCAAATACAACGAGACTTAAAGGCCATCACCTTTTGACCCTGTGAGGGTAATGAACTGGAATGAGGGAGTAATTAAATTTGCGGATATGAGCGGTCATTCTTCTGCTCCCTATCAGCCTTGGAAGAGGAAGTGGTTTAACAAAGCAACTGTGCTAATTAAGGCATAATTAAGAAACTTCAGCCAAGACCTGCTGATCAAGAACACACTGTCCTTCTGTCAAAGAATTAGGGACCCATTTATCTCTCCATCTCACGCACGCACTTCATCACAGGTGTGAGTTTTCCTTAGGAGTGTGAGAATTTCCACTGTGCCAGTGTTTCTGCCTGTACTTCTTTTAACTTCTTCCTCTTCTAAATCCACCTCTTCAATAAGAATTTAATTAAGTGCTCATTAAACCAGCTTGAATAGGGTCACAAAATGATAAATATAAGAATACAAATAAAAAATATATATAAATAACAAATTATAAAATGTATTTTAAAATGAATGTAATTTAAAAAAGTTAAGTGCAATTTTATTGGTAAACTGTTTGTAATTCTTGATGTTGTTGGTGGATTCCCCCATTTTTTGGAGAGAAAAGTGGTCTGCAGTCTTTGTTGAAGGAGTCCACCACCTGAAAATGTTTGAGAAGCACTTTCCACAGGAAGGAAAATGAGATTTCAGGAATCAAGAAACCCAGGTGAGGGAACCTGGCAGAGACAAATAGAAGGAAAATGAGACAGAGATTGAATGAATAAATAGTAAGAGAGAGATGGGAGGGGAGGAAAAAGACCTAAGGGGAGAAATAAAGAAAGAGCGAATGAGACAAGAGGAAAGATGAATGAGTGTGGGAGAGGAATGGTGTGGGTGTGATAGGCTGTCGAATGAAAGGAGAATTAGCGCGATGTTTAGAGAGGAGAATGAGAACTGAATGAGAGAAATGTCTCTCCCTCTTCCATCATCCTTCAATCCTGGCTCAACAAACATTTGAAATCATGGAGTCATGACCTTTTGCAGAAGCATATGCTTTAAATAAGCATCATATTTCCAATTATAATTGTTATTAGTCATGTTTACAACAGCCAGGATCACAGTTTAATCATAGCTAAGGTGAGTATATACACAAAGCAATAAACTCAGGCTTGTAGCTCAAGCCACATTGTTTGTGCTGTGGACTTTAATAATATCATGCAGCTTATTGTCATCATCACCCACAAACACCCTGGCATAATGGTGGCAAGTTTTGCAGCCAAACAAAACAACTTTACCCTCTTAAAAATAAAGGTTTTCTAAAGAATTACAAGTTATTAATGAACAGCGTTGGGGGTAATGAATTACAAGTAATGTAAGTTGCGCAAGATTACTTTTTTAGTAACTAGTAAAGTAACGCATTACTGTGTAATTTAGAAGGAAATATCTGAGTTACTTTTTCAAAAAAGTAACGCTAGTTACTTTGTTTTGCCATGTATTGATTGACAGCTGTCATGTTGCCATGTTGAGAGAAATCAGGAGCAAGTGCAGAGACGTTGTGTGCGCTCTGTGAACATGATGTTACTGTAGTTCTAGACTAAATATGAACATGTATTTACTCATCTCACCTGCACAAAAACAGAATCAGTATTCCTCAAAATGAATAAAAACCATCAAATGCAAACTCAGAATATTATACAAACCTGCAATAATTAAATATATTATACAACACAAATATTATTTATTTGATAAAATTATTTATTTCGATGATCCAATTCAGCCATACTATGCAAAAATGACACATTTGCGTTTCATTACTGATTATGTTATTGATGAACAGTGTTTAACTTTCTTCACCTGCGTCATGTGCTTCATGCAATTTGTTTGAGTTTGCCCTCTACTGTACAGACGTGAATTTACATTTCCTTCAGCACGAGGCGTATTCATTCACTTTTGTTGTGAAAGGGCTTTTACATTTGTAAAAGAATAACTTTTTTATGATAAAAACAAACAAGCAAGCCCTGCCCAGATTTGAAAAGTAACTCAAAAGTAACGTAACGCATTACTTCCCATAAAAAGCAACTAAGTAACGTAATTAGTTAACTTTTTTAGGGAGTAACGCAGTATTGTAATGCATTACTTTTAAAAGTAACTTTCCCCAACACTGTTAATGAAACACTCTAAAAGCTACCTTAAAAATGTACTTCATATCAGCGCGATAGCCTTGTGAGCAGCGCGCGCTGACATACAATGCCATTGCGCTACGGGCGTCCCGAGTTCGAATCCCGACTCGAGGACCTTTCTTGGTCCTGCCCCCCCTTAACTCTCTCTCACTTTGCTTCCTGTCAGCTCTGATCTCTCCTATCATAATAAAGGCAAAAATAAGTCTTAAAAACATCTACATCATTAATCAGTTTGATTGATTTTAATCAATCTGGCAATATTTTTACGCTGACAAAATAATTTTATCAGGTAGAGGCGAGTTGATCAGATAAAAGTGAACTTCTTAAAGTAATGATTTTACAGTTTAATTCAAATCTTTTTAATAATATAGGAAATTAAATAAATACATCTCAAAACTTTTTCCACCATTTTTCTTTCTAGTCAGCTGTGAAGACAAATACAAAACCACAGCAAATTGAATATATTTTCAACTACACACTTCAACCGTGTGTGTGATTGACAGCTTGCTCGTGACAGGTGGAGAGATGTTCGTGTTCATCGTACAGTAAATCTTACAGTTCATCTTTGCTGTCTGGCCGAGCAGCCAAACGCTTCTGGAACCGCCTTCAGGCAAAAACTCTTCCGTTTCTTTCACCTGCTCTGGAGAGACACATTTCTTACACAGATGATTTTACTGCTGATATAAGCATGTTTTTGCTGCATTTCTAAAGATACAGATCTTAGGGGTCATATGTGCAGCTAATGAGTGCAACAGCATGAGTTGTCACACTGTTTGCATTTGATGATGAGACATTGCGTTGTTCGTATGCGTTTAAGAGAAAAAGACTCTGTGCCATATGTGCCAATCATGTTCTTGGCAGACAGCATGTGTGTGTCAGTGTGTGTGTGGGGGGTCAAGGCGGGTTAATATGACAGACCATCTATGAAAAACACATCCATCACATCAAAATGTGTGTGTGTGTTGAGGATGACGTGAATGTCCATATGTCTGTGCATATATTTTTTATCAGTGTTGTTACTGTAATCGCAGTCTAGCACTGGTGGTATGAATAATGTTTCATAAATATGATACATTTCAATAAGACAAAAAGGATAAAAGGCTATTTTACAAAAAAGATGTGACCAGTTTATTGAAATATAAATAAAAAGTAAATATTACAAAATTATTTAAATTCTTTTTTCATAAAATTTTTTTAATTTGTGTTATTATATATTGAATACTATAATACTATACATACGTGAAAGTCATATAGTATTATAGCAAGCGCACACACACACACACACACACTGACTACATTTTTGAACATGAATGTGTACAAAAATGTAGTTGT